TATGCTTGTGCGCGTGTGCAAAATACGTTTACAAGAGCACGTTTAACGTATAACGGACGGTATAAGCTAAGCTAAAGTTATTTAATTATCTATTTCAGTTAATGTTGCAGATTGCGTTGTTCCTTAATCTTCGAAATGGATCCGGATTATTATTTTTTGCAGACTGTTAGAGCAATTTTATAAAAGTAAGCTTGAACTTTCGATTATGTCAAATAGAATTTCTGATATATATTTATTAATATGTAAATGATCTACAAAGCGAAAGTATGTTTCGAAGTTCATTAAACAAAAAGTGGAATTGCTACAAAAAATGGATAAAGACATATCTTTTGTTTATCTAAACTTTGTTTATCTTTAACGCCGAGGCGCCGCGCAATGAATTGGAAGTTGATCTGTCAGCACTATCCTTATCTTCAGGGCAGATGTTTTTATTTTATTTGGCTTATAATTCCTTATTAAATTTAGTATTTCATCACAATGTACTCCATCTTTGATATGATTTAAATCAAATTCCTCGTCATTATAATTCGCTTCCGATGGCGAAGAAAGTGACACAGGTTATTGAAAACGAAAAAATTTCAATTGACAAATTAGTCGGTATTCTCGACACAGCAATCATAGGACTTGAACAGCGGAACTTTGTAACTGAACAAGAAATTATGTCTGTTTAATAGAATTAAAGAGAAAGTATTATCACATGAAACGAAGCAACTTACATTGAAAGAAATGTTTAATAAAATAAACAAATAAATATTAAGCTTTTTTCTTTTTGTAAATTTTGATACCCTTTAGATCATAATTGTTCTTTATTTCATAAATTACGGTTTCATATTTTTAATTTTATAATTTCTGCATGCCATCTTACCAGATTTAAACTGATGATCTATAATTCGGAAAAATCAATAATCCGGAATCGCCGAAGTCCCGATGAGTCTGGATTAACAACTTTTGACTGTAGTAAGTTATCTACAGAGAGTATAAAGGGTTATTTATCTACCGAAGAATTTTGTGAAGTTACTTCTATGATTGTTAGGATTGTACAAAGAGCCAGATTTCCAGAAGAATTATTCTGTTTAGAATCTGGTAAAGCCTTGAAGACATCAAGTAAACTACTATCTTAAAGTCCCTTCTTGGATTCCGCAGGAATAATGCGTGTAGGCGGAAGGTTCAAAAACTCTATAGTTTCAAATAATCAAAAACATCCTATGATTTTACCTAAGAATCATAATATTACGCATTTAATTATTAAACATTATCATGACACGTATCTTCACGCAGGTACCCAGCTACTAACTTCGGTCATACGACTTTGATTTTGGATTGTGAATGCTAGAGATATTATAAGAAAGTGTATAAACCAATGTGTTATCTGCTGTAGATTTAGAGTGCAAACTGCAACTCAGCTAATGGCAGATTTACCCGCTTCAAGAGTTACTCAAAGTAGAGCTTTTTCTCGTGTAGGGATTGATTTAGCAGGACCATTTAACGTTAAATATCGTTATGGTAGAGGAGTTAAAATCTTTAAGTGTTACAATGTCTGCTTATTTGTTTTGCTACAAGAGCAATACATTTAGAATTAGAGATCTTCCAACAAAATCAATCCTTGTGACACTTAAGCGGTTTATAGCTCATAGAGGCAAACTATGTGAAATTCACATTGATTGTGCAACAAACTTTATAGGAGCTAATAAAGAATTAAGGAAAGATTTTCTACTGTTCAACATGATGAACAGCTACAGGGTTATATTTCTTCAGAAAACATTAAATTGTTATTTAATCCTCCCTCTGCCCCTCATTTAAGCGGGCTTTGGGAAGCAGGTATCAAGTCCATGAAACATCACTTAAAAAGATGTTTAGGAACACTTATTTTAACATATGAGGAATTTTTGACATTAATAACCCAAATTGAATCCTGTCTTAATTCTAGGCCTTTGGTACCAGCTTTAAGTGATTGTAACGACTTGGAGGCGATAACACCACGACACTTTTTAACCAGAGCAGCTTTAAGCACTATTCCAGAATCTAACCAAATTCAAGAAACATAAGCTGCAGTGATCGTAGGAGGAATGTGCAAAGGTTATTTCAACATTTCTGGAAGAGATGGAGCAGTGAGTATTTATCTAGGTTTCAGCGGAGCCCCAAGTAGTGCAAGTTGCAGCAAGATCTGAAGGTTGGTGATATGGTTCTTATTAAGAACAAAAATCTACTTCCGCTACGTTGGAAATTAGGTAGAATTATTAAAGTGCATCCTGGTCTTGATGAGAAAGTTCGAGTGGTGAGTTTACGCACTTCAAATGGTGAAATAAAAAGACCTATAGCAAAGCTATGAACTTTGCCATTTAATTCCTGATTTTAAAACTTTAATTTTTATTTTTCAGTTTTATTCAATTTAACAAGTTAAATTTATTATTTGAACCCCCTTGGGACTTCAAGGCTGGGGGTATGTTCGATGTTATGCAAATTGTATTTCTTTCTTTGTACCGAGGAGCTTCGCAGACACAAATTTGTTAGGATTTTAAAGCTCATGTTTAGAGCTTTTAGGTTGCTGTGAATTACTAGAGTTTCAACTAAGCAGAGGTTCTTCTGAGTTTGTTTGGTAAGCCGCTACTGAAGTCGGAGGTTTCAATGTGTTCCTCAACCAACTTAATGTTTGAAAGCCAATAAAGAAGTTTCGGTCAACATTATGACTCTGAGGTTTCTTGGGTTCTACACTAAGGGAATATCAAGTCAATTTGCAATCTCCTAGTTTTAAATGACAGATCAAAAACTTACACCTGATTGTCATTTAAACATTTCATAAGGATAACTACGAAAGCCACTTTATTTGTTCAGCTATTTAAGTTTGATAAATCAAATGGCACATTTTATATAGTGAACATAACACATTTATTTATGCAACTGGTATTTGGAATTATACTTCTCAATAAATCAAGTATTAATATTGTGTTAAAAAGTACCAATGGCTGTAAAAATGTCAACCTTTTGAAGACAGGATGGCCATTATAGTGGCCACAGAGTCCTCTCTTTGAAAAGACGTGGTTGTCCACTTTAGTGGCCATGTCTTTTTTCCCCCATTTTCAAGGCTGAAAAGTGGGGTGAAATGTCAAATTTGACATCCCTGAGGTTTTAACCACTTATCTCTTTCAAAGGTCTTCCTTTTGGGACATAGATGCACCCCTCTGAGAATCCATTAAACTACACACAAGAATCTTTGTTGCAAATAGGAGGTGATTTCTTAAAGGGGGAAAGCATCGGTTCAAGATTCCCGGTCCTTTGGTAGCTTTTACAGCTACCAAAGCCCCGGTCTCAAAAGGTTAAATCAGCTATAGACTTTTTCAAATTTTTTAAAAATAAAGTGCTTTTTTTTATAATTGTTTTTTCTAACATAACAGTATCCATAGACCATAAAAAACAAATACTTTTTTGCTGATCCACTAAATCACCAATGGGCTGGCAACACTTTGCCAAGGTGTGGATAATCAGAAAACATCTAAAATTTATAAAAGTTAAACATTGGCCAAGATATCATAATTAAAAATAATCCAGACAAGCATGTTAAATTACATTAAGACTGCAGTAAAGGGTAGGCATTCAGAAAGCCTGACATTTATGCTATCATAATATATATAGAGAGAGAGACCAGATAAAGGCAGTTATGCTGCTCAAAGGATTGAGGACATTACAATCTAAAATTCAAGTATTGTTAGATCTGGGTTTCATGAAAGTTATGCAGTTTCTCTTCATTTGTCCAATGACATAGAAATAGGCAATCAAAGAACTTTGAAGGGGCATAAGAACTTTGAAGGGGCATATATAGTATCCCAAATCTATCCAACATTCCAAACTGGTTATCAAAGTACAGTAGAATTCCGATATTCCACAAATGCCTGCAATTCCTGTTTATTTTTTATGCAAAATAAATAAATAAAAAGCAGTTTTAAGGAATGTTAATATGGCAAACTTTATGCTAACTTTTGAAAAATATATACACTACACACTATTAATTATAATATATGTTTATTAAAAGCAAATTAATTTTACTCTTGAAGTTATTTAGTATTTCCTGCTCACATATCAGCACTATTTATAGTATTCATGATTAATCTCTGCAAATTTTGCATTTAAAAAAAATCCATACTTTTGGGTATAGACACTAGTGTTATTAAAATTAATACTAAGTTAATGTGGTTAATATGCAGGAAGATTTATTTGTTCCAACTTAAATGCACCTTGAAACTGATTTTATACAACTCATGCAACAAACAAACTTGTTTAGATCAGATACAAGAGGGATTAAAAATAACAGATGAGAAGATTTTCCTGCTGTTAAAAATGTCAAACAAAATATAGAAAAAACAATTATAAAATAGAGATTTTGTTTTCGTAATAAATCCAAAATTTTAATTCTAGCACTTTTGTTTACTGCTCATATCCAAATGCATATGCATGAAATATAATGGCAGGCAGAATTAGCATATGGATCTAATTACTGGAAAATTATACAGCTGAGATTTCAGTAAAAATTACATTTATTTATTCTCTCGTTCATGAGCTAAAAAATAATTTTGAAAGTAATTTCTTTGATGGATATAACTTTTCTTATACGAAATACATTGCTGTATTTTTACAAAAGAAGATTTTACTTAAAAATTTCCCTTTCATATATCCCTTTTTCTCTCCATTATGTTGGCCCTTAAATTTGCATCACTTACTTAGAATATAATATATTTAAAAAATATTCAATTTTGTATTAAAATAAATTTTTATAAAATGTTTCTTGAGGAATGTGTATGTTTTATTATTTAAATGCAAATAATCTGAATTTAGTGCAAAAAGGAAAAATGTAAACAAAACTTAGAGAGACATAGCATTCTTTAACACAACACTCGGTCTCAAAGTGGCTTGATTGAAATTCTATTGTGTTTTGATGCTGGACTTTAAAGAACAATCTCTCTAAAAATAAACAGTAAACTGTGATAAATTAGTAATCAAACACTTACCTTCATCTGGCAAAACCTTTTTGCACCACATGTGATTTTGAATTTCTGGGATAGTGTACCTCTTTGATGGAACAGGACATAAGATTTTTCTGAGGAGAGCTGAAAGCAGAATACTTCATCAGAATACTGAAATAGCAAATATTTAATGAAACTTATTAATACTTGTACCTAGGATAAGATTATGCTCATACCTAAGGGAAGATTGTCAATTTTATTCCATGGAGACTGAGAATAATCAGATCGTCTCCAAAAACCATATTCATCGCATTCTGCAGTTGCTTCATTCCACGGTAATTCTACAAATTTAAATATAATGAATATTAAGAAATTATTCACAAATTTAGAAAACAAATAATTAAAATCACAAGTAAAGGAGATTGGGGATCAGGGTTGTGAAGTTTCTTCCACAGCAGAAAAACTGATCAACAGAAACTAATTTTGAACTTATTTTACATTTATAGTATTTTATCCATACTTTTTATTATATATTAGTGCTTATGTTATTAATTTAAATATTTTCTTTTTTTATAAACTTTCACAACTTCACAGCTCAATAAATTTCAGAAAAACAGTTTGAAAAATATCTAATTTTTTATTATAGAATTTCAAAGAGAAATTTTTAGATACATTATACGGAAAAAATCATTCATATGTCACAAGTAATCAATGTATTTATGTATATACAGAGATAAAAATTACAATTACCTCTGTAATATTGACCTTTTACACACATGTAAGTACAAGCAGCTAGCTTATTTTATATAAGTACCACTATAATGTTGGCTTTTTTGGACACAAGTATGTATAAGCAGTAAGTTTATTTTATATAAAATACCCTGTAATGCTGCCTTTTTTTAACACAGATAGTAATAAACAATTTTGTATTTATAACACCTCTGAAAATTTTAGCTATAACTTGTTATTCCATTTTGATGTAGTCCATTTTTAAATAAGGAATGGTGCAGAAAGAATATTTTAAAATAAGGAATGAAAGAAAATTACAACATAACTTAAAAGTTTATACGCTTTCAATAATACGACTATAAAAGTTTATTAATTTGCAACTAAACTTTACTAATTGAAACCACCAGCAGATGTAACATAATGTTCTATAAGAACGCAGATATTTCATTACAAATTCAACAGCTATCCACTTCCCCAAAATCCTATCAACTTGTTCTTGAAATCATTTAATGTCATCTAGAAACAGAAAAAGTACTCTGAAATAAATAATATTAGATAAATAATAGTAAAAAAATATTAAATAATAGTCAAAAATTAAATGAGATGCCCATACTAATTATAGGAAAATCAGGCTGCGCAACAGTGGTTGCCCATTTGACTTGCGAGCAAAACTGTTAAGTGGTTGAAAAGCCTTATTTTTATGCCTGATGTAACTTTTCTTAGGTAATATTAATTACATGTATGTATTTTTGTGTACTGCTTATGTGATTTCTTTCACATCTGCAAATTTAAACAAATTTTAAAACTAAATTTCAGCTAATATCAGTAACGAAACAGAAAAATTATTAAATTATTATAAATAGAAGGCAAAATGGAAATAAAAAGAAAATTAAATTAAAAAATTGAATCTACACATCTTCATAATAACAGAGTAACAAGAAAAGTTTTTCCTAGCACATGCAATAACCTAGTTTGAAATTTTAATGATGAATGGATAACCTGTGGAGCAGCTTTGATAGATGCAGGTTTTGAACAAAACTGTACCAGTTTTGAAAGAATTAGAAGAAGAATCTCTCTTCTTCGTGAGATTCCTTCATCTTAATGATTTAGTCTCTCAATTTGCTCCTGAAAAGGGAGACATGAGTCTTTTTTCTTGAAAAGCAAGGAAAGAACCTGTATTTGCAGAATAAATCAATTTTTTTTAGAAAAAAGCTAAATTTAAATGAGAATTTGAATGTTTGCATAGGAAGTGCACTTAAAATAGATTTGGTGATAACTTGCCAAACTGGTTCACCTTTTTAATGCCATTTCTAAAAAAAATGTAAAATTCACATGCACACACACAAAATAAATAAATAAATAAATAAATAAAAATAAAGTAAAAAAATGATAATCTAAGTGAATACTTTTAATAAAACTACCTACCTCCAGCCAGCATCACAACTAGTAAGATCCCACAACTCCACACATCTGCGGGCTCTGCTTTGTACTTTCGAAAAAAGACTTCAGGAGCAATGTATGGTAAAGTGCCACACCTGTTACTCAACTCTCTTTCTTTGCCTTTATGACGAAAAATTGTTGCCAGACCAAAATCTGTGATTTTGACATCATCTGAAATAGAATATGCAATTAGATTATTTATCGTAATAAACAATGAAATTACAAATAATTATAACTAGCATTTTTTACTCTTAACGGAATCAAATATTAAGATAAGGGAATAAATATTAAGACAGGGTTCATAGCCACATTTTAGTTAAAAAAATAGCACCTTCTAATTCCTCATACACAACTGCATAACCTTAAAAATTAGAATTGTAATTTAAAATATGAGAAATGAAGTACTTATTAAGAGAATAAGCATTACCTCAACCATGGAATAATTACTTTTTTTTTTTTTTTTAAATATAGTTCAATTTAGAATTAGTTTACAATGAGAGAAAAAACTATAGAATTAAAATTATTTCCAAGATTTAGATAGAAATTACACGATTTTTTAATGATGTGAAATTCAGTTCAAAAAAGAGAAACTAATATAATAAAAGTACCACGGAACCTGCTAATAAATAAAACTCTTTTACCAATAATTTAATAAATCTCAATTGAACAATCAAATTCATTATCTCTGCACAACTTTAACATTAATCCTGCGTGAATTCCTTCCGAATATTATCAATCGGAATCACACGCGGTTTGAGAATAAAATAACCGGGGGTCTTTCATTCTTAAAAACATTTTAAATTCCGGAATAGAATTCTTCTTCGCAGTTTAGTCCTAGTTCAATCCAGATTGGAAATAATCAAAAAAAAAAAAAAAGTCGTTGCTTGTTTGCAGTGAACTGTACAGTTTAAACAAATTGGGGAAAAAACCTCCCAATAACGTATAATATTGGAAATGAAATGATTTTGACTATCGATTACTTCCCTTTATTAAGCCTCGAATATTATTCTTAGAAGCTATTGCGTAAAACACACATTTTTGGAATGGACTATACTTCAGCAGTTACTGAACTATATTATACAAACATTCATATAGGCTATAATATAAGCATAACGAATCCTAACACGAATGAACTGACCAAGCAGAACGAGAACAAATTTTTAAGATCTTGATAAATTCAACGTGTGTAGTATTGGGTGGGAGGAAAAAGAAGCGAATGTAGCCGAATTTTCTACTGCTTTTGCAATTGTTTGACCAATAGAACGACGGGCACCTGACTGTACTCTTCGTCACACCAATATGTTAATGCAGAAAGGGGGAAAACAGGGGAAACTTGGGGGAAAGCTATTTCCGGAGTCTGACTCACCTCTGACTTCCATATTAGAAGAAAAGTGTTTTTTAGTTTGGCTTTGTACGCGGAAAAATAGCGCGTTCATTAAAAAAAAAAAAAAAAAAAAAGCACTAAAACCAAAAAAATAAGGACTTTAAAGAAAAAGTAAGCACCTATAAAGGCCTTTATATTTTATTTTCAAATATAAGGACTTATAAGCACTTATAAGGACCGCTACGAACCCTGTAAGATAGAGTACTTTATTGAAAACAAAAACAAGCAACAAATTGAGGACAAATATTTCTTCTATTTTGTCATGAATATTTATATAAAAGCAGCTGATATTGCAAATGTCTTAAGCAGTTTCCAAATTTTGGAAATATCATCACATCACATCATGATATGTCATATTTGCTACAAGCTATTTATCAACCATGCAACCTGGTGACTGTTTCTATCGCCAAAATCCAAGATCTTTAATAGTATAAGTTTTATAAAGAAAGTAATGAACATTTTATTACATGCAAAGTTAATTAAAAGGCATGCAAATTAAAAGAGGCATGCAAATTAAAAGGCAATACATTTTGAAAATATAAAGGTGTATTGCTGAATAGCATTATTAACAGTCTTTAAGATAACATTTGACTCATGATTAAAACAAGAATTTTCCTTTTTCTTTTCACGAAAGAAAGTGATAAGATATTGCTCACTGAATGAGTTTCAGTGTGACAATACAGCTACAAAAGCTACTAAAAATATCCAAAATATCTGTGGAGATGCCATTAGTCAGCCTTAAGTTAACATTGGTTTACATGCTTTGAGTTAGATGGTTATGACTTCAGTAACCTTCCACAATATGGCAAACCACTAGAAGTGGATATACCTACCAGTTGTATCAGAAGCTGATTGTAGATATCCAGTTGTGAAATGGCCATCATACCAGGAGTGTTATATACTGCTTTAGTGAACCATTTGCACATACTTGGAAAGATAAATAAAACTTAAGTACTTCAGCAACTTTCAGTCCAGAGTTTACTTCAGTGTTTGACCATTAGTATATTTCTTTTGGCATGGAAATGGCTGACCAATTTTTTAAAGGTCTCATCATTGGTTGTTACTTTATGGAAACGCAAATGGTCCTTTATATTAATAAATATCTTTCTCTATTAATCTGTATACAATCTTTATATTAATCCAAGCTAAAATCCTTTTAACAGCAAAATGTGGTCTTTATTCAAAGAAGAATATGCTTTTTTAGGTGGTGGGGTATGTAAGGCATTGTCTACATTCAGTTCTCAGAAAGTAACATGGCCAATTTCACAACATACTGTCATGAACTCAAGTAGCTGCATCAAGCTGTGTTAATCAAAGACCCAGCACTGCTCAATAAAAGAGAAGTAATAATCTAGCAGTGTAAGAATAAATAATGCATGGATGAATAACAACAAATTTTGTGTGGCTAGAGAATTTCACAGTTTTACTATAAATATTTCAGTGATTTATTTAATACCCACCCAGAAAGAAATGTTTAATTTCAAACGAACATAAATAATATCAAAACATTGTGTTATTTATCTTTGGAACAGAAGAATCTGAAATTTAAAACAAGGAAAAACCTAAAACTAAGCATTTAAGGTTTTATATTCAACAAATTTTTAAATACAGATAAACATCCACATAAAGCTTTTCTAAACATGTATTTTATAAAGAATATCTTGATCCAATATTTGGAAAGTATCTCAAGTTATGCTCTTAGAGGATAAAAACATACCACTATTTCTTAAACAAAGTTCTCAATGAAATTTTGCTTTTAATTGCCTTTATTTTCTGTATGGGTGGGAAACCTGTTAAATAGTATAAGAGGAAATAAAATATTGAACATACCATTTTCATCTAGAAGAATATTTTCAGGTTTAAGATCTCTGTGTGTGATACCTAAGGAATGTAAATACTCCTACAGAGAGACAAAAAAAAAAAAAAAAAAAAAAAAAAAAAATCAGCAACAGGAAAATAATACTTGAAATATGTATGATACTTGAAAAATAATACTTGAAATATGTGCCTCAAATGTATGATCTCTTGCAGAACAAAAGAAATATGTTCAATTAAATATTTCTTTATACTACAAAAATATTCAATTTGTGCTTTTTTTACTTTAATATATAGGTTTTCCAAGCTCTTTTACAATATTTTACATACAGTCATAAAAATGGTGGCCTTGATTTTAAATCATTGAGCCATCAATTTTCTTAGTTTATGTGCCAAAATAATTAATTTTGACTGTGCACAAGTCCCAGAAGGTTGTAAGGTATCTCTCCCGCTTTTCTAGCATGCCTTTGTGGTGCAGTGGTTCTGCATGCTGGGCTGGTATCCAGAGGTCCATGGTTCGATTCCCGGTGAAGGCGTTGCTAATTTTCATCTCTCCGGCCTCCAAATAAATCCTAATGTCTCTACAGTGGTGCCCGAACTAAAAGGGTTAAGGATGATGACTCTCCAAACCTAGGATTAGGCGATTGGGTCGCATAAAAACCCCAGTCGCCCTTTGAAAGGGGGAGTATGTAAGGTATCTCTCTCGCTTTCCTAGCGTGCCTTTGTGGTGTAGTGGTTCTGCACATTGGGTTGGTATCCAGAGGTCTGTGGTTCGATTCCCGGTGAAGGCGTTGCTAATTTTCATCTCTCCAGCCTCCAAATAAATCCTAATGTCTCTATACAAGATACAGTTTCAACCAGCTTGTTCAAATGAAAATTATTCTCATATTGTAACACTTATCTTGGGTTTAAATTAAACTCAATTAGCTCAAATACAAATTATATAGGTGATATTTCAATTCCTTTGGCGAGTTTTCACCATCAACTTGATTAAATTCTTCAAGCAAGCATACACAAATGTTATTTTGATTTTAAATTTATTTCTCCACTTGTGATAGATAAACTAAAAATAATACAATGCAAAATTATCAGTCACCCAGACCAGGCTGTAAATACAAGCTCTTTAAACAACTTCTAATTATAATACTTAATTTCTTCTAACAAAGACTACAAGTTTTGCTGATAACTACTTACACAGGGTTTGTCCACGTTACTGCATATTGAAATTAAAGACTGAAAAAAATTAAGGACTTATCAGCAAGGGAAACTGAATAAATTAAATCAATTATCTATACCTGAACTTCACTTTTGTAATACCATTCTAAAAATAAAATAAATCTGCAAGTAGGATTTATTATTATGAAATATAATTTAATACTTAAAAATATAATAAAATAAATCCAAAAATAAAATCAACTTTGTAAAATTTATCAGGTAATTAGCATTAAATTATAAAATTCCTCAAAAATTAGAAAGTTAAAGATGCCACATTCATATTATTTATATTTTACCATCACATTTTAAAGATTAGTGAAATTTAAGTTTTATTAACAATTAGTTTTATGTTGATTCTTTCTTTTATGCCACATTTTGTCATGTACTCACTCAGTCCAGAGGTTTATGCAAATTTTATGTCAAGAGACTAGGTTTAAATGAGAAGTAAAATCATGCATGTATCTAGAATGTATAGATTTTAATTTTATTTCTTTAAATAATATGAGTTTGAGAATAAATATAAAATGATATAAGGTCAGTTGTGGCACAAGAGCCAGTGTGGCAGAATTTCTTGAAGTTAGTGAAGCAATGAGCAACAAAATTTGGGGAAAGCAAAATTTTTAGAATTTAGGACAGACACTGGGTAACAGAATATAGGACACATCGATTGCACTGGTCAGCAGAATATAGGACTTATAGAGATTGCACCAGATGGCAGAATGCCCAGTGTACAATGCAGACAGGATGAATATTGAAACTTCTTTATTAATAGAAAAATTCCTTTCTACAGATGCATGCCAAAGTGACAAGATTATAATCATTTTTGAAATTTTTCGTGCTTGTGTCTAGTGAAAAGATGAGAAAATAATGGAACGGCAAGATAAACATGTTAATAGGAAGACTTCTAGGATGAAAAGTAGAATATTCAAATAACTGTTTTTACTGTCCTTCCAAAAATTTCCTACAAAATAAGAAATTCACCTGAAATTTCCTAAAACGTGCATTCATTACATGTTAATATCATGAAAACATCTTTCATTTGGCCACCTTTTTTTTTGGAATCTGGAATTGTAGGTCTATTAATCTTGTTTTCGTTCAAAACCTTCCGAAATGCAAGGTCTAAAATTATCCCTCCCAGCTCTGTATGAGCAAAAATGCTAGAAAATTTCTGAATAAAAAAATTTCAGAAAAGAAAAGTGTAAAGTAAATTTTTAAGAGAAAACTGATACACATTTGAAGATTCTGAAATAAATATATGGGGGGGGGGACTCTAATGAAAAATATAAAAGAAAATGAAATTTTAAAATTACTAAAGTAGCTTTTTCTAAGAAGTACTTTAGAAACTATGTTTCATAGCATTTATTACCTTATTTATTTTTCAGAATCAAAATACTCCCAAGTCGCCAAACTTGAAAGTAATATTATTTTAAAATATGACATAGGAAAATTAAAGTGTTTTATTTTAATGCTATTTCTTAATTACAGTTTCAATATGTTATCATTCTTTAATGATAGTTATCAATTTTATTGTTTACGAATGAAAAGGGAGTAAAAAATTCATAAATATATGGATTAGCATCAAAATGTGTTTACATTGCAAAATTTAGTACTGTATAATAAAAGAAATAATATTTCAGAAAAGGAAAAGATGTTTTTGATATAACAATTTATGAACTCTTCATTCTCAAAAAAGGAATAATTATGGAATGTTAATATGGTAGGGCTTTGTGCCACTCATGCCCTGTTAAGTAGGAAAGAATTCAAATGATAACCCATCAAATACATATTTGTCAATGAATTGAAAAGTATTTTTCCAAAATGTTTATTCACACTCAAACTCATAAAATGGCACTCATAAAAAAAACAGACAGAAATGCCAGACGAGTCAAATTAAGGACTTTTGCTGATTTGGGCCGAAATTAAGGACTTTTAATGACCAAAAATTATTTCCAAAAAAACTAAAGACTTTTAAGGACCGTATGACCCTTGTTACAGTAACACAAAATTCTGAACTTGCCAATAAAATCTAATTTATGCATTTCACTCTGGTGCAAGACAGTGTTTAATCACCAAGTGACAAATAAACGGCAAGCAGTCAGTATTAATGCAAAATCTCATGTATGGTTATAAGCTATGGCTCTAATAATACACTGAAACTAGTTATACTCAACTAAACCTTCAATCTGAAATGAATGTGGTGCAATGAAGCAATAAGAAACATGTAAGTAAATACACTTTATTAGTGAAACTCATAGAACACAACACATGTTGTGGTATGCAGAACTTAAATCTGTTCCAACTGTTCATTGCAAGTTTTGATGAACTTATTATAGTCACCTGTTACAGAATAATAAGTTGCTGCTATTACTGTAAACACATCAGACATGATCCAATTTCCACATATAGAAATAGAATATGGTTAACAAATAAAATGTTATTTTAACAATACCAGCATTTAGCAGCAACAAGTAAAATATGTTTTAAATTATTCTCTAATCATATCAGTACATGGGTTTCATAGAAATGTGGCAACTGTTAAAAGCCAGACAAAATATTTGAAAATTTCAAGAGTTATATGACCTATGAATGACAGCTTAGAAATTTATCAAGAATTCTCTAGTGCTATTACGTATTTCCGAAATCATTCTGACTAGAGGGCGCTGCGTTCGTCCTAATAGTCAGTGGCAGGCAGGATACTAAAGGTGTAAGACGTGGAAGGCAGAGATGCCTAATAATATATCTCTAATTGATTGAATCTTCATATATTTTCTTGTAAATAAATGTTGTTATTGTTAACGAAACCTCTTATTATCTCTTGGATGCACCTTTAGTCTCACAGAACCATTAGATGCAAAATTGGTGCATCTTGTCCGCGAATGTGGAATACCGGAAGTAATTAGTCATCATTACTGGATTATATTTCTGAGAAGTTTGGATACTTTACGCACGCTTTTGAATACGTAACATTGCATACCGGACTGTGGAGGTAAGACCTTCTGAACTCACAAATTCTGAGTTAATATGGATAAGCTGTCGAAAATAATTGAAAAAAGAAGTAACGTTCGCGCTAGTGTTACTAAACTAGTTAAAAGAGTGCAGAAGCTTGATGATGAAGCCGTCGAAGACGTAAGTTCATTATCAGAACTACTGGAACTATTAGAAACGAAAGAGCAGATCTTGAAAAGCCATGATTTAGAGGTGGAAGCACTCATAGACGATCCGGAAAAATTTAAAGGTGAATTAAAAGCTTCGGAAGAATACGATGACAAAATATTGTTAGCTAAGATTAAACTAAAAAGCAAAATTAAAGAATTAGCAGCAGAAAACGTTCAGCGGACTTCTTCAGTTCTTAACACATCTAGTGTTTCGGAAAACACTGTTAAGGCTTTAAAATTACCAAAGTTAGAAATTTCGCGATTCTCTGGTGATTCTGGCAAATTTATGGAATTCTTAAACTGTTTTGATAGCGCAATCGGTTCAAACAATTCACTTACGAAAATTGAAAAATTCCAATATTTAAAATCTCTTCTTTCTGGTCTTGCATATAACGTTGTTGCGGGTTTTGAATTAAATGAGAAAAACTATGACTCATGTCTTGAGCTTTTAAAACAAAGATATGGTAGAACTGATTCTATTATAAATTCTTACATGACTAAATTATTAAGCTTAGAACCCGTGAGAAGTTCGTCTAATGTTAAGGGTTTGCGTAAATTATACGATGAATGATGAAATAGAAGTTAATATAAGAAATTTGCGTTCATTAAATGTAACGGAGGGTTCATATGGGCATTTATTGAATCCAATATTATTGAAGTTGCTACCACAAGATTTGGTGTTAGATTTTCACCGAAAACGAAACAGGGAAGTGAA